GAGCTCATAATCAAATTGTTTAATATATAGATTTAGCAAAGCCTAAAAGTGATGCCAACCCATGATAAGCGAGAATTTTGATCAGAGTTTTGTAACTTTGCAGTGAGGTTTGCCCTTCTGTTTTGAGTTTGAATACTCTAAGAAACTACACAAAACAAAAGCAGTGAAAAACATTTGTAAACAACTGGGTTAGAGTTAACCCACTGGCCCCGTTTACAAGTTAATCTGATCATGACATGAGCCCATGAACCAATTGAAAATCAGCTCTTGATCAGCGGTCAACTTCGGAAAACCATGTGACATAGATGAGCTATGAGCCTACGATATGGTCGTGTGATATTGGTCAGCGGATACCTTGTTTTGACAGGTGTCAATTGACCATAACATGGATGTCCAATATCAATGAAGGAGTCGTTATAAACCAAGGCTGAATGTCTCTTTCAACCTATTAGCTGGAGCATGGCCACCATCTTGGGCAACTCCTCTGTCACTGTCGTCGTGGCTGTTGTGTGAATGCACCCAGGAGCAATACCGCTAGCCATGATAAACATAAGAAAATCAATTAATGGGTTTGCTTGTCTTTCGTATATGAGTATAGGGCTCCGCTTGGCATCCCCTCAGGCTGCCAGAGCTCCGCCATAAAGATTATAAATCTCACTCATTGGAATGCGAATTGATGTTATTCGTTACAAACCACATACCTTATCTTTGAGGCCTTTCAAATTCTTTTTCCAACAGCTTCATTTGATTTCAATTTATAGCTGCGAAGTTGTTTCATCCAGTGATACGAGAAAGAACGAAGCATAAAGCTTCGACCCCGTCGCATCCATAATGACTGTTGTTTTGAAACTTTGAATTTACTTCCTGTAAGTAGTTGCAAAAGGTTGACATTTTGTGATGTCTTACATGAAACAAAACAGAAAATGCAAACAAACTCTTGAGAGAGTGCAGTATGGACTGGAAATCATCTTTAAATGGTCTTTCAGCCATTTACAATAGCATGTTGAAAGTTGGCGTGTCGAAATTAAAGATGGTCAAAAGATGTTGCCTAATAATTTGCATGTAAAGGCGGCGAAATATGAGATACAAAAACCTTCAACTTGTTGCACAACATTGTTTCGTTGCAAGTTTTGGGTCGATGTTTTGCATTTTTCACCTTGCGTGATCAACGCGAAAAGCAGATCGCGGGTCTAATTTGAGCAACAAATTTTTGACTTTGTAGCTCTTTTTTCATCAAACTCACTTGTCATGCAACAAATTTGCTCATGCTCAAGCAAATCAACCAATCAGTGCACTGCATTTCTTCAACACGCAACAAATGTTTTTGTTGCGTGACAAGTTGATTGGGCAAGGTGAAATACGCGAAACATCGACCCAAAAGTTGCAACAAAACAATGTTGTGTGACAAGTTTAGGGTTTTTGTATCTCATATCTCACCTCCGTAACACTGAAAGCAGGTGTAACATGAAAAAGAAAGAAGGGAGAAGGACAAGGGAACAGGGGGATAGACTGTGATAGATTGGTATCCTGTCCAAGGGGAATGAAAAATACTCCTGGTCACTTCATGTTATAGAAAGCAGGATAAAGCACTGGGAAAAAATATGAGCCCTCTAACTGCCCAGAAACTCTGGAATGAGTTTTGTCATTAATGTGTGGGGTTATAGCACAAATGGTAGGGATCAAGGACTAGGTTTCCCAAGGGTTTCCTCTTTCCTGAAAATGCATTTCCCCAGTATTTTGTAACATTTTTATTTTGCTAGTTTTTCAATATTGGTTTTCAGTGAAAGTGGTCTGCAATAGCAACAAACAAGTGAAGGGAGAAAACCCTTAAAAATAAACATGATAGTTTTGTTTTATGAAAGTCTGTTTGAATAATATTAGACCTTTTTCCATTTTTTAAATTGAAGTAAGCCAAGTGAAAACCGAGCTACCAACACAAAAGAACTGTCCAAATATGCTGTCACCTATGAATGATAATGGTACATGTGTCTTCAGTGACCACTGCAGCAAAGTCGTATGCACATCGCCGCCAGACGTTGATACTGGGCCAATTAGCCATATGGCTGTACAAGCCTTGGTATGCAATCAATCAGTGAAAGCCAATGTTAGCTTGGAGTCATCTTCAGTGAAGTGGTCGCATACATTTAAAGATGGCGAGAAAGTTGCTCTGCCGGATGCCATGAAACCATCTGATGCCCCTGCCAGTATGAAACAATTCTTGATAGTTGAATTGGAGAAACATGGTCCATACAACACGGACGTCCACTTTAAGGTACTGCGTGCATTGCATGAAGATCTCTGAAAATGTTATCTGTAAGACAGCTTAAAGTCTGATAACTCAATTAACTCAAGGTATTTAACAGGCAATCTCGATAACTTCAGATCAATTAACTTGCAGGGTATTTTGTTCAGTTGCATAATTACCAACATTTCATCCCTGGCTATTTTTTCTGCGGGCCAAATCTGACAGGTTTGGTTTGCATAGCTGCCATTTGACTTTCACCCCCCTGCCCAACCCTGTTTAAGCAACTGTTTAGCCAGTGACCATCATGCTCTAACCCAGGGGGGGACTCCCATATAAAAAGGACGGTGATGCTTGTCTGAAATTTTGAAGAGAGCCCCTAAGAGGTACTAAGATCCTGTTTTGTGGCCATGACTTGAAATTTTATTTACCCCTAAGAGGTACCAACTCTAAAGCAACACATTAACTGGCATTGACTTTTTTGGCTAAAATAATATGGTAGAATTCTGAAAGTAATGCCCCCTCCGAAAATAATGGCCCACCGAAAGTAACTTTAATTTTTTCCCTTCCTATTGAACCCTGAAAGTGATGGTCCCCCCGAAAGCAGCGGCCCACCTGAAAGTACTGCCCTTTGAAGAAGTCACTAAAACAGAAAGTCTTTCAGATCTTCTCAGCCGCGGGTCATGCGGATGGGACAGGCTTACTGCAGGACTGAACATTGACTTTAACAGCTATCTGTGATTTTATTTTGAACTTGACTAACTTTTACTTCAAACTATGATTTATAAACTGTATTTGTCTAGCAGTAGAGTCAAATGATATACTGTAGGGCCTTTTTTTTGGATAGTTAAAAACATACATAAACAGAACGTTTAATTTCTTTTGTTACGTGTCCCCTTTGTCTGAAACAACTGTTACTGTACAAACTTTTTGTAACCATCCGAAAGTAATGGCTACCCAAAAGTAGTGGCTCCTTTCGCCTGCTAAATCTGAAAGTAACGGGGGCCGTTGCTTTCGGAATTCTACAGTACCCTAGAAGGTACCATAAAAGCTCCTGTTGCGGACATTTTGATCATTAGGCTGAACAACCCAAGAGGTACCAAAATGGCTTTTTTAACCCCTAAAAGGTATGATGAAAACCCCCATCCTTTTTACATAGGAGCCCACCCCCCACCTCATGGGGCTATAAGTATCAGCTAAGTAAGCTTGGCTTTGTTGCTTAGTTCATATAGACCATTTTTGTGTGCATCATTAGTTTACTTATTGTTTGCTATTTGTTCTTCTATAGTTAGTGCTAATGTTTGATTTTGGATATATGAATTACAACACCACTTTCCTTGAAGGAAATTTAGAGGCTGCTGAATGTGGTAAGGTTCTTACATCATTGCTTTACCTGAACAAAACAGTGTATTATTAAGTGTACATGCATGTAACTGTTAGCTTACAATCATTTCTACTTTTGTGACAAAACCTATATCTTTACAAACATCTAGTATACATTGTACAAGGAGCAGACTCTGGAGGCAGAGCACATGCAATAAAAGCAATGAATGCAGTAAATTGTTAGCCTGGTACCTGAGCTGCAATCTTAGTTCATGATTCATGCAATAATTAGTACTTTAGTCCTTTCCTGTATTGTAATGAACATTATGATGCCAATTTGAGGCAAGGGTGTGAAAGAAAAAAACAAAACAAAAAAAAACAGATAATGCATGATTTCAAATGTCCACCCCAACCTTGCTCTAGAACCTAGGGAATGTCAAGTGGAACATTTTCATTTATTATTGATTGACATAATGCAACCATTTTCTTTTCAAAACGGTAGAATGCCATGTGACTGTGTTTCCAACACCAATGATATCTGGTGGGGATGAAGAGGACTGTCCAGATATTCAATTGCCAGATGGCAGCGATGGCACATGCTACCTCGATAACCATTGCAGCAAAGTCACATGTTTGTCGCCGCCAGACAGTACTGGGCCATTTAGCCACATGGTCTTGACTGTACAAGCTTATGGATGCCATCATCAACCAGTGAAAGCCAAAGTTAGTTTGGAGTCATCCTCAGTGAAGTGGTCGCATACATTTAAAGATGGTGAGAAAGCTACAATGCCTGACAATATGAAACCACCTGATGTTCCTGCTGATATGAAAATATTCCTTGAGATGGAATTGAAGAAAAATGGTGGCAAAGTTCACTTCAAGGTACAAAAAATAATATATTTTAAGGCAGCTTAAGGCAGTTTGTTTAACTGTTAAGGTCCAGTCTTGCAGTGAGCATTTTTTTTTTTTTAATTTACCAACATTTCCCAGTAGGGGTGTGAACCTCAGCCATATTCTTGTAGCCAAGGCCAAAACTGAACTAGAGAAAAGACTGAACATGTTTTTTCTTGCACTCTCATCCCCCACATCCATGCTAATTAATCCTCCTCCCTGTCCCTGCCTTGAGCTGAGACAATTGGGGCTGTGTTGTAACACTGGTAGAAATGTTTTTTGTTATTTTGTTTCAGAAAATCTCACCCCTTGCACAAATGGGTGTGCCTTTTTTGTTTGAAGCCCAGCACCACTCTGGAATTTCAATTTTATTAGTTTAATTTAGGTCCCTTTAAGAACTTTCATTGGCTTTTGACTTTCCTTGGGGTCTCTTAATGGGGCTATTAGTCACACAATTCAAGCAATTTCAGCAATAGTCGACTGGTCATAGAATGATCTGAAGTATTGCAATAATGGCTTGAACTATCGATAGGTCTCACTGTAGCCCTTCAAACCACTGTAAATATTATTGCTAAATTTACTTTGGCATATTATTATTTTTTTTTTTTACAGTTATTGCTATTGTTTGAGTCAACATTACTTGCACCCTACAATGTCACTTTCCTTGAAGGAGATTTACATACTTGGACCAAATGCAGTAAGCTTCATATTTAACCAGTTATTGAATTACATGTATGAGTGATTGTGAAACCCTTTGAAGTCTGCTACTTGTTGTTAGCTCCACAGGTACTTAATGTATATGTTGGACTTCACAAACTGACGTAGAAACTGTGGATATAATAATATATATAAACTTGATTACATGGCAGCTTTGATATCTGACTTCTAGCACTTGCCAATAAAATCAGAATAATTAGAACTCAAAATGTAGTGAACAAATTGCTTAAATACATAAAAAAAATGGTGAAATCAATATATATTCATTGACAGAAGTTTTGATCTTACAGTCAAGAAATTATGTATTGCAAACAAGAGAGCAGTTTTAATTTCATGCCTTGTGTGATTGTATAAAAGTGATTGGTTTTGCATCAACTATGCTACTCAACTGGCTATAAAAACTCGCATCACTTTTTCATCTAGCTAGATATAAAACCAACACCATTATTATTACTTGTTCACATACATTTTTCCCCGCTTCGTACTTACTTTGAGTTTGGACCAATTATTGGTTCACTGGATTGTGTGTTGTATGTGCATGTGATTGGCTAGTAAGAGTGATTCATTTAATTTTGGTTTAAAGACACTGAATAGAAAACCACTCAGTTTCTTCATAAGTAAACACAAGAAAGGTGAGTTTCTTTTTTGAGGCTTATTACAAGGAAATATTTATGATGAATTCTTGAGATCTTATTCTGGTCCTTTTTTTTCTTATTCTGATCTGCAGCTGATGAAGGTGAAAATGATAATTCAAAACAATGCTCGGCTGTGAATTTCATGCCAGGTCTTTCCCAGGATGACAAAGATAAATTTTCTACATTTAAATGTGTTTCCAGCAATCAGTGCAGCAAGGTGACATGTGTTGAAGCATCAGCAGATCACATATTAACAGTTGGGTTTGAAGTAAACAAATGCAGACAGCCACTGAGTGGGAACGTGACACTAAAACAACCAGATATGTTGGACTGGTCACATTCCCTTGGAGATGGAGAAAAAGCAAAGTTACCAGTTGTGCCAGGTGCTTTTACTGGTCAGCTGCAAGTGTTCAATGCTTCCTTGTTTATAAAAGTTGGGCTTCAGGAGATGAAAGGAAACAAAGTTAATTTTACAGTAAGGAAACCTCATGGTCTGATGCAAAAATGTGCAGTTCCAGAAAATATCCATACTCCTCTCATAGAAGGGTTTGGAATTTTCTGCAGGGTGGGGGTTCTCTTAGAACAAAGAATTCAAAGAAATGTATGAAGCTTAATTGGAATTTGCAGAGGGGTAGGGGGAGTCTTGGCAAAAAACACTTAAGTTGGGGTATGGATATTTTCTGGAACTACACAACGTTAAAGCACTGGTGGGGATAAAGGCATGTTTAAAACATGAAATGGCAAAATGGCACAATTGTACATGTCGGCCTAAATAGTGCTCCAGTTAGCCAATATGTGAATAGCGGTCAGTTTAGCCTTAATAATAATGGTAAGGGTTACCTCCACAGACACCCGTATCCAACTTTGACTCTTACTCCTAGTTCCATTTCATCATCTCGTGTTTTACATTGTAACACATCCTAAGGATAAAACTTTGTAAAATTGACTAGATCTAAAGCTGAGCCATTCATGCATTGACAGATAAATTTATAATGCAAATAGCTAACAACAACCTATTCAAACTTGTTTTGAGAGTTTCTGTCACTGAACAGGGCTGTCATTAAGTTTTGAGTCACCTGTAGCCTTGTTCTCCACACCTGTAGCGTACTTATTACTTTGTGGGTGAATTACATCAACAACAGGCAATTTCACCCATAACTGTAGCACCACATTGTTTGCTCTGTCATTTGACATCACTGTCACCTTGCTATATAGCGAAAACTAACTTTGACTACTTTTTGAGTGAGAGATCTCTGCCGTATGCTTGATTTGGGAACATTGCCTTGTTTTACAACCAACATTGATAGGTTTTTATGGCCAAATAAAAAGAATCAATATTTTGAGCGTGCAACTCACTGAAAGGTTGTTATTGTTCCCAGGTGTCAATGGTTGGTCAGATAACCATTGGTGGTGAAACTGGTCCAGTGAATGTTACGCTATTGGAAGGAGAGTTAGCCATACCATCTGATGACTGTGGTATGGCTTTGGGTATGGCCATTCAATATTAACTTTTGACTCTAAATTATAACCAGGGATAGTTTAAGACCTGGTTTGCATGTCATGAAAAAGTTATCCTCCCTGTGTAAACTCCTGCACTTAAAGAAACAAAACAAAAAACCTTGAGCTTGAAAACTATTATTAATAATTAAAAGTCTTTTCAAAGCACTTGAAAACTGTACTTGGTTCACTGGTTCATTTATACTTTCAATAGCAGGGCCAATCATTCACATACAAAACAAGCACCTAATATTTTTATGGTGCATGTATGCAAGAGTATTTTAAAATGATGTCTTTGAAACCCATTAAAGATGTCCTTGAATCCTCAAGTTTGCTCACTGAATTTAGGCCAAAGAAAGGGTGTGAAACCTGATGCAGTAGTAGAGCATTCACTACACAGTGCCACTGTACTTATTTCAAAGACACCAAGCTTAACATCTCCAATGGATTCTAGGGTCGGGTTGCAGCTCTTGTAAGGTCTCTCACATGAATAGCTTGATACCCTTTGAGAGAACAATAGAACAAACAACAAAACCAATTCCCTTAGCCCCAAACCAATAACAGCTGCTAACAAGCAAAAGAATTACAAGCTTATGAGAGCTGCTACCCTTCTGGGATTCTAACAGGTGAACCCTGATTGTGCAACAAGTGAACATTAAATTGCTGCTTTCTTGTTTTCCCCACAAGGCTCATGGTTCAGTAGACAGTCCAGTGGAGTCAAAGCTGCTGTGATCATTATCCCACTACTTGTGGTGACATTGCTGGTCTTTGTTCTCACCTTGCTTTGCTTTAAAAAGCGTCGAGATGGGAAGCGTTTCCTGGTGGATATTTTCCCTGGCAGAGACAAGATCGGGATGGAACGACTTTCCGATGAGCTTTAAAGCTTGCATACTATTTTGAAATTCCTTTGCCACATGTAAGCATACACAGTGCAGATATTGTAGAGTGGGAACTATTACACAATAGTTAATTTGTTAGTGGAACGACAGAATGCTAGTTTAACCAGGTTTAAGTACACTGATATTAACAATGGAGAGATGTAAACACGTAAGAAAGATGTAGAACTTTATGTATAGCCTTGGTGAACAAGCATGTCTCTCTGGTCATCTGTTGAGTCCCCAGTAATCTGTTCTGTGAGACTGGAACAATAAAAAAATCCCTCATGGCCATAGACAGGGTGTTGGTGTACATGTAAGGCTAGGCTGTGAACAGGCTCCAGGTGGAGGGGTCTGAGCACAGCTGGAAGGGCCAAGTGAAAACTGGCTAAGAATAAGTGGCCAAGGGGAAAATGGGGTGGGAGTTGGGGCCACAACTCTCTCTCTCTCTCCCTTTCTCTCTATTCTCTCCTCTTCCATTACCCACTTTCTCTTCACCCCATCCTTGACTAGAGAGTCTGTTCATAGGCTAATGTAACACTAAAAAACATAATGCGGTATAAAAATCAGGGGTAGCTATATTGAACGTAGCTCTGCATGGATGTTGGTTAATCTTTGAATCTTTGAATTTTCATGGCAAGTAACAACAGTGCCTTTTTAGTCGGACTAAACGTTTATTGGATGAGCACACGTCAACTTTGTAAACTTGCTACGGCTGTTACCATTGGGATGGGTTACTTTTGCAAAAAGTTATACATTTTTTGTGACTTAGGACCATGAATTGCAGTGGGATGTGCTTAGTGGTCTGCATAGGTGTGTGTGAGTGGGGAGTTCTTAATGTCTATTTATCGTCAAGTTTAAAGCCGTATTAATTTACTAATATATAACATTGTGCAGTTTCAGAAAGTATTGACACCTCCCCCACAGATGGGATTGGAATTTCCTGGGGTGGGAGGTTTTGTAAAACTAAAAAATTTAAAGAAATGTATGAAGCTTTATTGGAATTTCCAGAGGGGTGGAGGGAGGGGGTCTTAGAAAAAATCCCTTCTGTGGGGGAGGTATGGAAATTTTCTGGAACTACACATTTGAGTTTTCTTCGTATTTTAACCTTTGGGTCTTAATTATAAGTGTTATTTATTGAGCAATGTTGCATGTTTGTCAAGTAACAAATGCACATTTGATATTGACTATTTTATTGTCAAACCTCAAAATAACAAATAACTCTGAGTTTTTTTTTCCCATTTTAAACCATTAACAGTAGCAGGATACATCAACACTGATAATTTAATTTGTCACATAGGTATGAAATAAAATATGCGATGTATGGATGTAATCAAAAGGCCTAACCAAGGCCGCAGGCCCTAAAGGGCTAGTTAAGGTCACATGATACTAAAAAGATTATGGAATCATGATGTTTTAGAAGAAAAGGTATCTTATATGTTTTCAGTAAGATATGGGATGGAAAGTATATAGAATAAAAATATGCTAACAAAAAACCAGGGGTTTTAATCCCCATGGGTGGGGAACTCGGGCATCATCCCCAGCCTTTTCACATGGGAGTTTTCCCTTCCGGTATCATAAAAAGAAACACGAATGTTACTAGATGTTTATACTGATATTTGTAACAGTAAGACACAAGGTTTAGTTATGTTATGTAATGTAATATGTAACGTATCGTTTAGGTCAATTAAACACTTCACTGACTTGGGTTTGTGTCTCTGTCCTTGATTGTATGAATGGAAAGTGCTCATAGATGAATATGTTGTGCGGTGAATTTCAAATGAAATTTTTGGTTCAGAGATAGTCGTGTGAAAAAAAGAAAAACCATTATAGATAATTGGGGCAAGGAACATCAGCATGGTCTTTGGGTTTTGTGGATGAAAACTGATTGAAGATGAGTCACTGAACGCGCGTATGTGCCAAGCGTTTTCCATTCTAAACCTCTCTTGGACGTTTTCGAGTTGTCAGTAACACTCTTTGATTTTCGCGTTCCCAACCATGCACGTTTCAGGGGAGGCGCGTCCCACGTTAATTTTGAGTACAATCTTGTTTTTCACTGTTCGGAGATACCATGTAACCTTAAATACCATTAAGTCCGGCGTTGTCAATTCTGAATCTTTTTGCGACAATTCAAAGCTTTGGACAATTCCCCCCCCCCCCTCCATTTTCGCGTTTTCCACGCGGATCCACGCGGATCCACGCGCGTTAACCCGTGTGCCACAAACGTTTTTTTTTCCTAAAAACCTCTGAGTTGTTCATCACCTTTTTTTTTACTTATTTTTAATTGCTCTCTACCTTAATTTTGAGATGAATCCTATTGTCCTAGTAGCAGTGCTGCGGCATTTTCTGATCCAAACCCGTTAAACCACCGAGATGAATTCCACAATTCGCACAATGAATGCACGGAGTATTGGACGAGAAAAAACATTGTAGAACCCACAGTAAATGCACGGGAACGGCACGATTTCGTTTTAATGCCCCTCATTAAATGACAACATTAAAAGTAATAAAGTCATACAAAAATCAAACTTTAAAATCCGTTTTATTAAAGTAGTTCTTTTCTATTTCAATTGTTTCTAGCTTGTACCTTGTTATAGTCTTTGATTCCTAGGCTACCGGGTCTTTACATGGGAATTTTAAATAGTCTGCAAAAAATCAACCAATAAAATTATCAAAAAAGGTTTATTTAACGACTGAAATATGACGGCCGCGTGAATCAGTCTTTACAACTGTATTCAATTTTACCTATCACTGTCTTTAATAAAGCCTAAAAATGCACAGATCTGGAGTGAAATTGATATTTTTGAGTGATACAATAGTTTTACATAAGAATCAAAATCCAAGTCATGAAAATATGCGGCGACGTTTTTGTCAGCGATTGGTTCTAGTTTGTAATCAATATTCATGACTACTTGTGGAATTTGCGTCAAACCAAACACTTGGTCATAGTGTGAAGACGTGGATTTATGACCTCCTGGTGATGTCGGATCTAGCCATCTTCTTCCTTCGAAGAACATAAAGTAGGACGAGAAAAAAGTATGAAAATATAATATCAATGGTGAGTGTACGTTTTAATCTTTTTGCAGTTCACCATAGGGAACAATTTCTACCTTCCTCAAATTAAGTTACACCCTTCGCTCGCAATTTTCTTTGCCGAGCTACACACAGCTTCGTTCATAGACCAGATAGTCGTAGTTTTGCAATCACTGAGATGAAACGTTTCAGTGAAGGGTTAAGAAATAATTGTTGCGCAAGTTTCTAAGATACTAGCGCTGAATTTGTTCTTATCGTTGCGTGTTGCTCCCGGAAAGTTAAAAGCCGTTACCACGTGCAGCTGGTTCATTCGAGCTTTGGTCGCCGCTTGCATGCCTTGGTAGTAATAGTCTATCTTGTAAATACATTTTTCGCGAGAGAAACTAATGTTTCTCTTTATTGTCTTCTTTTTAAAGAGAGGAAA